ATGTTGCCATCTCCCACTTATGCTACACCTCTCATGTCTCCTTACAGTGCCAGACTAGAGTCAAGCTCAACAGGGTCTTCTTTCCCCGCTAATTTTTCCAAGCCCGTTCATTTGGCAGTGGTTTCGCTAGATAGTAGATAGGAACAGTGGGAATCTCGTTAATCCATTCATGCGCGTCACTAATTAGATGACGAGGCATTTGGCTACCTTAAGAGAGTGAGTGGTAGCCATCAATGCTAGACAGTGGATTCACGCTCTGGAGATCCGGGTTCAATCCCTAGCAGGTATCACAAATCCTGCGGGGATTTTTTTCCGGGGATCTGGGGCGTGGTCTGGTAGAAGGCGGCGATGGCTACCGGGTGCACGTGTCCCCGGAATTTTCGGGGCACGTCACAAGTCGAACTCCCCTCTCAATGGGGAACTCGCCCTCCACAACCACCGCTTTTCCAGGTGGATGTGTGGAGGAAAGAGGGGGTATCGGCGATACCGTGCGGGGTTGCTGGTCCCCCATCGGACACCTCCCCAGGTGGCGAATAGGGAAAAGCCCGCTAGAAATAGAGGGTACCGGGGAAATAATATACCCGGGGTAGACCAAAAACCAGTAGAGCAACACCGCCGAGCAACAAGCGGAGTTTACGGGTACCGTGAGTGACAAGCATCCTCTAAATAACCTGGCGTAGAAGGCAATGGGAAACCACTACGACTATTATCCCAAGAAAACCACATAAATACGGACAATAGGAGGAATGATATGTCGAGCAATCCGGCTGACCCCCGGCGCCTAGATGGTTCCGGGCCGTCTGGTGTGAAATTGGCAATCGGCCACAGGAGGGTGACCCACCAGGCTTCTTGTGGAAACTGGGCTACTGGTGGTAAACAACCCAAAGTACGACGAAATCAACACATAAAAATAGGCACATGGAATGTCCGCGGTCTGCTACAACCAGGGAAGCGAGAGACAGTGGAATCGGAAATGCAAAGATGCGGAGTAGATATACTGGGCCTGAGTGAAACACATCTCAAAGATAGTGGTCACTTCGAAACTGGTAATGGAAACATGATATTCCTTGCTGGTAACGGTGAAAAGAGCAACAATGGAGTTGGGTTTATTGTTACAAAGAACCTGAAGAACTGTGTACTAAGTTATAAGGCGATTGATGACAGAATAATCAGGATTAGAATTGGTGCCCGCCCGCACACCCTAAACATTGTCCAGGTGTATGCGCCTACAACCGAGTGTACGGAGGAGGAAATCTCTGATTTCTACGCAAAGCTTGAGACAGTCTGCTGTGTGAGACCGAGGAAGGAAACTACCGTCCTGCTGGGCGACTTTAATGCAAAAGTGGGAGAAACTACGCACGATACACACCTTAACCAAACAGTAGGAAAGCACGGTTTGGGAGTCCGCAATGAGAGAGGAGAAATGCTTCTGCAATTCTGCATAGGTAACCAATTCACCATCATGAATACTTGGTTCAAGCAACATCCACGGAAGCTATATACGTGGATGTCACCAGGAGGTGCATACCGAAACCAAATTGACTACGTGTTAATTGACACCAGATGGCGCTCATCCATTACTAATGCCAAGACACTACCCGGGGCGGACTGCGGAAGCGACCATCAGTTGCTGGTTGCGGAGTTTAAAGCCCGGCTCAAAGTCGTCTATAAAGCCAGTAACAACAAAGCACTGCACATGCACGCTGATGCAATATCGCAGTTCAAGCAGGACATGCACACTAGGCTTTTGGGAATGGAGACGGATTCAACAGAATCAGCCAATGATATGTGGGTCAGACTAAAAACAGCCGTAATAGACTCTGCGGAGACCATTGTACAACAACGCAGGGGTCCGCGTAGTAGATCTGACTGGATGAGCCAAAAGACCTGGTCCGCCGTCCTGCGCCGCAGAACATTAAAAGAGAATGGTCTAAGCACTGAAGATGATAGAAGGCACTACCACGAGCTGCACAGAACTGTCCAAAGACTCTGCCGTAAGGACAAAGATGCAGAAGTGGACAGAGTGTGTCAGGAGATCGAGGAGTCATCCAACAAGGCACACACAAAAGACATGTTCTGTAAAGTCAAGTCACTGACAAATGACATTAAGGGGCTACATCCACCTAGAGGCCCGAAAAATAAGTCAAAATTCAGATTTTTTTTCAGAAACTATTAGTGGGAATGAAACGAACTTTGTTTGTACTTAAAGATACATGTTTTGAGAGCTTTAAAAAAAATTTTTATTAAAAAATTTTCAAACACAAAAAAGTTATGGCCGCCGGCAGATGATGAGTTTTTTTTCGACACGTTCGGCGGTGGACATTAGATCTGGAAAACCGCTCGATGGATCGTTTTGAAATTTACACAAAATACGCTGAGAAACATTTAGAGGTCGTTGATGATCGCCGATTTTTAAAATCGATTTTTTAAACAAAATGGCAACAAAATGAAACTCAGGTATGGACAATTTGTGAGAAAATGTATAGTCATTTTTACGTAATTATTAAAAAATAAAGATCGATTTAAAAAAAGGAAGATCGTCAACGACTTCTAAATGTTTCTCAGCGTATTTTGTATGAATTTCAAAACGATCCATCGAGCGGTTTTCCAGATCTGATGTCCACCGCCGAACGTGTCAAAAAAAAACTCATCATCTGCCGGCGGCCATAACTTTTTTGTGTTTGGAAATTTTTTAATAAAAATTATTTTTAAAGCTCTTAAAACATGTATCTTTAAGTACAAACAAAGTTCGTTTCATTCCCACTAATAGTTTCTGAAAAAAAAATATCTGAATTTTGACCTATTTTTCGGGCCTCTAGGTGGATGTAGCCCCTTAAGATCAAGAGCTGGACATTGAAGGATGATACGGGAGCTATCATCACAGATCGATACAAGGTGCTAGAACGATGGAGGGAATACTGCCGAGGTCTGTACGCGGCAACAGAGGATTCAGAAGAACTGAGAATGAGCGAATGCGGCGTGAGGGAACCGGACATTCTTCTTGCGGAGATAGAATGGGCCGTGGCAAGACTGAAACACAAAACTAGCGGAGGCGATAGAGTCACAGCCCAAATGCTGAAGAACCTAGGCCCAGAGGGCACGCACATGCTCCACTTGATCTGCCAGAGGGTCTGGAGTACTGGACGATGGCCGAATGACTGGTCTAAGTCTATACTTGTCTCTCTGCACAAAAAGGGTTCAACCCGCAAATGTGAAAATTACAAAACAATATCACTGTTGTCACATGCTAGTAAGATACTCTTGAGCATAATTAAGGCAAGACCAGAAAATTACATCGACCGGCATATTTCAGAAGAACAGGCTGGTTTCGTCAAAGAAAAAGGCACACGCGAACACGAACAAATCCTTAACGTCCGACAACTGATTGAAAAGAGCAGAGAATTTAATGTGCCATTACTGATGTGTTTCATTGACTATGCCAAGGCGTTCGACTGCGTCAGCTGGAAGAGAATGTTCGAGGTGATGAGAGAGATGGGAGTTCTTGAACACTTGATACTCCTTGTGCAAAACCTGTACCTGGATAGCACATGTAGAGTTTGACTGGAGGATGCCACTTCGGGGCCCTTCAGCGCACGAAGGGGAGTGCGACAGGGCTGCATCTTATCACCGAAGCTTTTTAACCTTTACGGCAAATATATCATGCGCAAAGTGTTGGACGACTAGACGGGGGGGTGTCCGGATAACTAGGAGAAAGATCAGTAATCTCAGGTTCGCGGATGACACCACGATTTTGGGTGCAACCGAAAGCGAGCTGGCGGAGCTGCTTCGTAGGGTGGAGGTCGAGAGTATGCAACTGGGACTTCACATAAACAGAAGCAAGACCAAACTAATGTTCATCGATCGTGCCGGGACTCTGCAGCGCACACACGAGCTCCGTGATTTGGAGGTGGTTTCGAACTTCGTATAACTGGGCTCCGTAATCAGCGATGATGGAAGCTGCGACAGGAAAGTAAGCCGCCGCAGCCAAATGGCAAAGGATGCTATGAGGCGGCTCGGCAAAATCTGGAGGAATCGTGGCATGAGCAGGAAGACCAAGGTCCGACTAGTCCAGTCCCTGGTTTTCTCAGTGTTCCTATATGCTGCTGAGACATGGACACTGAAGGCAAGATTGAGGAGCAGAATAGATGCATTCGAAATGTGGTGCTGGCGGAAAATGCTGGGTGTGCCGTCCAAGGCCCATTGCACAAACGCGTCAATTTTGCAAGAACTTGGAATTCGAACTTGCCTGTCTACGATCTGCCTAAGGCGTATTCTGAGGTTCTTCGGGCACATCTCCAGACGCGAGCCGGACAACTTGGAGAGACTTATGATCGTTGGTCAGGTCGAGGGAAAAAGAGGCAGAGGCCGATCCCCGACCAGATGGGGCAATGCCGTCAGAAAGACCACACAGGGACCCATCCACGAGGCGATGCGCCGAGGACAGGGAATCATGGCGACAGATGGTCCACGATTCATGTGGTCACGATCCTCAGTAATGAGCGACCGACTTAGATGATGATATAAGGACATATATATTTAAATAGGATTTAAAAAATTGTTATATATCTTTAAATGTTATTTTTTAAGCGTGCCATTGTATTATAAGAGTGGACTTCACACGATATAACTGATACAAAAATTGTGTCGCTCCGAGACAGCGTCGCGCGAGAATAGCGCGAAACAGTGTCGTGTCTTTTTGATGCCGTTCTTATAACACTGTTTGTTAAATTTTAAATACAAAAAACAGATCACATCGAATGCTATCTATCGGATACTTTGAGATGCAATATTCTGATCTGATCATATATAATCTTATATGACTATATAATTTCATATACAATTATATTATTTTCAGTTTAAATTATAAGGTATGTTTGCAAAATAATACGATTAAGGGGTAACACCACTGTAGCGTCCGGAGAAAACAGCCTAATTTTGATATTTTTTAAAGGGAATATAGTGAATGGAATACAAAATCGGTTTAAAGGCCTTTATTGTACATACTTTAAAGTGTGTTCACAATTTTTTTTAATTTCTTTTTTTTACAAAATGGCGGCACCAGAGCTCAGCAAAGGAAGCCTCTTCGTATTTTGTGGCCGGAAAGATTTCTCCTCCAATTTTTGACCTAGTTTTAAAATGAAACTATTGTTTAAAAATGAAACGTTTTGTTCAAACGTGCACCATTTTTACAAAAAATGATATTTTTTAATTTCCGTACGTCTTTCCCGAGCTAATCTTATATAAAACTAAAAAATTTTTGGTTTTTTGTTCCAGGTCAAAAATTGGAGGAGAAATCTTTCCGGCCGCAAAATACGAAGAAGCTTCCTTTGCTGAGCTCTGGCGCCGCCATTTTGTAAAAAAAAAATTAAAAAAAATTGTGAACACACTTTAAAGTATATACAATAAAGGCCTTTAAATCGATTTTGTATTCCATTCACTATATTCCCTTAAAAAAATGTCAAAATTAAGCTGTTTTCTCCGGACGCTACAGTGGTGTTACCCCTTAATATATTTGTTTATAAGAACTATAATATATATTGTATAACAGTTTATTTCACGAATTATTACTGGTAATTTCACTGTTTACAAAATTATTTAATAAAAATTAATATGTCAATTAAAAAAATTAAGTTCTTATGCAAAATTAGAAAAAAAAAGAAAACTTAAAATAACATATAAGCAATGAGAAGTGCCGTTTTCGGTCGAAGCGGATCTTAATGCTTAATAATATTTCACAATTAATTATTATTAAATACATGTTTTAGTTTTTTAAATTGGCACCGCGTGCCAATATGGACTTTGTCGGACTTAAAACGCAATTGTGTAAACTAAAACTAAAAATAATATATTTTATATTAATTTGATATTGTCAAGTAAAATAATATACTAGAAGAATATTTATAACAGTTATACAAATTTATATGGATAGATTCATTATAGATTATATATTCATATATGATTATCTTTAACCTTATAAATATACTTTTACATGATCACACATGATAATATACTAGTATATAAAACCATATATACTATATAAAATTATACTTAAAAAGATTTAGCCATATAATATTGTTCAAGATTATATTTCCATTTCTTATGTGACCATCATCATCATCTAAGTCCTTGACATCTTGGCAGATGTGTGGTGACTATGCTTGTCCTTCCATGTTTCTGATAGCGTCCCTAATAGTGGTGCGCCATCTGTCCCGGTTGATGGTGGCCCTCACTGCCTCCTCCATGTTGGTATTAAGGAGCTGTTTAACTGTATCGGTCCATCGGGTTGGTGAGCGACCTCGTCGTCGCTTCCTTTCCGGCTTCCCCTGGACTATCAGGTGTTCGATAGTATTGCTGCAATTTATGTGTCCGAAGAACTTGAGGATGCGGCTGTACACGTAGCTGGACAGTCTTTGGGGCGGATTTATTTCTGCCAGTATAGACACGTTTGTTCTCCTCGCTGTCCAAGGGATTCGCAGCATCCTTCGCCAGCACCACATCTCAAACGCATCCACATGTCGTCGGTCGGCTGCTCGTAGCTCCATGTTTCGGAGGCGTAATGAAATACCGAGAACACCAATGTTCTGACCAAATTGATTTTGGTTTGACGTGTGATGTTAGGGCTTTTCCATACCTTGGTTAGTTGGGACATTGCCACTCTTCCCAGCTAGATACGCCTGCGAATCTCCTCCCCGCAGTCTCCCCGGTTATTTATTAGTGCGCCCAGATATACAAATTTATCGACTACCTCGAAACGATCAATGCGTGATGTGCCAGGGAAGTTATCATGTTCCCGGTCGACTATCATGATTTTTGTCTTGGTGTTATTTATGCGAAATCCATAATCTAAACTGATGTTATTAAGCCTATCCAGGAGTGCAAGGAGCTCCTCTTTGCTCCTCGCGACCAACAGCGTGTCGTCCGCATATCTAAGATTCGAGATCCTTTCACCGCCTATGGTCACGCCACCATTCCAGTCCTCCAACACCTGCCTCATTATATATTCACTGTAGATGTTGTACAGAAGTGGTGAGAGTATGCAGCCTTGTCTGACCCCTTTTCTGATTACACTCTTTCCAGAGGTGGTACTCTCGAGTCTTACGACAGCTGTGCTATTTTCGTATAGATTTTTAATTAAATATATGAGGTGCAGCGAAAAGCCCATTTCCCTAAGAATGG